ATTTTGAAAGTTGAAATTTTGAAAGTTGAAATTTTGAAAGTTGAGTTTTTTTTTGTAAGTCAAATCTGTACAAAATTCACAATTTCTTGAAATCACTTGATTCGAAATTGAAGTTCTAGAAAATGGTTGTGAAAATCATCGTTCGCTGAAATACCAGCTTCTATGAAGTTTAAAATTTAAATGTAGACTTTGCTCGTCACCTTGAACGTTTAAAAAGGTTACATATCAGTCTGTCGTACGTTTTCATTTGTTTTTTTTCTCAAGTGCCATTTTTTATCAATCTATTTAAAACAAGCCGTTTCGTTTCTCAACAATTAATCTTTTTTCCCCACTTTTCGCTGATGAAAAGGTACGTGTTGTAACAGAAAGGTTCACCATCGTCTCGAACAGACAATGATGCGCAGTTCGATTTCTGAACTCTCGTCCTCTCTTTCGAACATTCTTCTTCTTGATTCGTGGTTGATTAGTTCACATTCTATAACCAATAACATAACAGGCAAGCCATCAGTTTACCGTGTTCCAATTTCCACGAAACTTCCCGAAATTCCACAGAAAACTCGAAACAGCAGCGTCTTTCTTTCGAAATTTTGTTTTGGACGTCTTCTGGATACTTTTTTCTAGGTTATGTTGTGGGAAAATTAGTAAAATTTTTTGAACTTTCAAAAACGGAAAAATTCTGATAAAAATTTAGAAAAAAAAACAAGTTCAATTGACAAGGGAAGTACCCAAAGTGTCCCATTGCTTTTTCTTAGATATTAATGGCAAAAAATGTCCCTCCCCCTGACTAGCACAAAACGGATAATACAAGGTGCCCATCGGCAGGTTGAGCAGAATAGCAAAATTTTTTGTGTTATTTTTAGAAAAAGTGGATCAAGTCCATTTTACAAAATCATAACTTGGTACAGAGCGATGAAAAAATCATGAACTAACCTGTAACTTGTAGAGCAGATTACAGGCTACGAAATACTCAATTGCACCAACTAAAAGCTTATATCTTTGTGAAGAAATTTACTAGGACGGGAAACGTCCGAATGGTCCAAGAGACATTTTTATTCTCCCGATAATTTTCCATCTTCTCTTAGGGGCTCAGTTTTTGATCGTTATCCCATCTCTTCCTTCTTTTCTGTTTTCTCCAACCCCTTTGCACTGTACTCATAGTACCACGTCGGTACAGTCAAGATCTATCCATTTGTCGTAACGAATTAATACTACTTTTATTAGATTCATTCTCCGTTTACATTCGTTGCAATATCCACAATTCGGGGGTACGAAACTCATATTTTTCAAGTATTTTGTACCCCCGAATTGGCATACTTGTCACTGGCCGGGCCGGGTCAAAATGAAAATTCGGCCCGGGCCAGGTTCTGAGATGTCATAATTCTGAGTTTTTTGAATTTTTTTGAAGTTTTAATTGAATTACCGAGAAAAAAAATTGATGTTTTACATTCTTGTAAGGGTAGATTGTTACAGTAATTTTCTTTTCAAGTGAAATTCAATAATTTTATCTCAAAAAGTTTTTGATAAATCAGGTACCCGGGCCGACCGGGCCGGGCAGGGCCGGAAGAATTTTTTTCGACCCGGCTCGGAATTTGACAAGTGTGCGAATTGGGGATTTTGTACACCTAAATTTCTTGACCCCAAAATTTTTGTACCTTCGAAATCGCCGGAGTTTTTAAAATATCGCAGAAAACACCGTATTTTGAATTTTTCCATATTCCTTTTTTGTTCGAAATATATCGTAAAGCCTGTAATATAGCGCCAGGGCGTTCTATTTTTCAAAGGGGTGTTTTGGATTGATGCGAGGTAAAAAAAATGGATTTTTTACTTATTTAACAGAGTACATAAAAGGAAAAAATGGTGCGAAATTTCTAGATTTCACTATTACCAACTACTGTATAGTGAAGTATTAGAAATACCTATTCTTCTCAAAAAAAAATTCGGTTCGAGAGAGATCATTTTGAAAATGCGAAACATTTATACTTTAGGCTACTCAATTTTAAGTTGCCTTTTTTTGTACGTCACTGATGTTAATATCTGTGAAAACTCAGTTAGGCTCAAAAGTTACTTTCCGTATTTTTTATGTAATCCTTGAATTAAAACATTGAAAAAATTGATGCGTGCATCACAGTCATCTGCCAGTTATTTTCGAAATTCTTCAAATCTTCAAAGGCAAGACCAAATTCTTGAAATGAGCTCCGTCAATGTGCACTGCTTCTGTTTTGCTATTTTTTCTCCCACCATTTTTCAATATAATCACAAAATTTTCTCTTAAACTCTAATTTTCTTGACCGTATTTACATTTACCAAAAAAACCTTTATTTGAATTCCTGCAAAACGAAAGGAACACGTATGTCTACCTCTCTTCCCGCCTTGTCTGAGCCCGCAGTCGGACCCCGCCGTCGGCATCCTTTTTTCGCACGAACCGAATATAAACATCCCCGTCTAAGTTTGGGATGTTTGGGATATGGTAGATTCGAAAAAAGAAAAGGCAAAGAACAGAAAAATTCAAATCTTGAAATATCTTGGAATGTATTTTTCTCGATTTTGAGGATTTCGATTATGAGAAATTGCTAGAAGCAAATGTTTATATCGAGTAGAAACTATTTTCGTTTTTTTCGCAGTGTATCTCCATTTACTTAAACAGAAACTTTTGCGTGAGAGGGAGACTAGTGCACCTGACACATACCTTAAAAACTGTTATATAACGCCACCTGTATTATAAGATCCCCTTTAATACAACGCCACCCTTATGAGGTGATTGGAGGTAGCAAAACAAAGTTTTCATGATTTATTTACATAGTAATAGTGAAATCTAGAAATTTCGCACCATTTTTTCCTTTTATGTACTCTGTTAAATAAGTAAAAAATCCATTTTTTTTACCTCGCAACAATCCAAAACACCCCTTTGAAAAATAGAACGCCATGGCGCTATATTACAGGCTTTACGATATATTTCGAACAAAAAAGGAATATGGAAAAATTCAAAATACGGTGTTTTCTGCGATATTTTAAAAACTCCGGCGATTTCGAAGGTACAAAAATTTTGGGGTCAAGAAATTTAGGTGTACAAAATCCCCAATTCGCACACTTGTCAAATTCCGAGCCGGGTCGAAAAAAATTCTTCCGGCCCTGCCCGGCCCGGTCGGCCCGGGTACCTGATTTATCAAAAACTTTTTGAGATAAAATTATTGAATTTCACTTGAAAAGAAAATTACTGTAACAATCTACCCTTACAAGAATGTAAAACATCAATTTTTTTTCTCGGAAATTCAATTAAAACTTCAAAAAAATTCAAAAAACTCAGAATTATGACATCTCAGAACCTGGCCCGGGCCGAATTTTCATTTTGACCCGGCCCGGCCAGTGACAAGTATGCCAATTCGGGGGTACAAAATACTTGAAAAATCTGAGTTTCGTACCCCCGAATTGTGGATATTGCAACGAATGTAAACGGAGAATGAATCTAATAAAAGTAGTATTAATGTCGTTGACGACAAATGGGTAGATCTTGAATGTACCGACGTGGTACTATGAGTACAGTGCAAAGGGGTTGGAGAAAACAGAAAAGAAGGAAGAGATGGGATAACGATCAAAAACTGAGCCCCTAAGAGAAGATGGAAAATTATCGAGATAAAATGTCTCTTAATTTTGAATGAGGAGAGTTCTGTGAATGCTATAAAGAGAAAATATGAAATTGTCAAAAATGCAAATCGTAAATGAAAAACACTTTGACGGAGCCCTCGAAAGAAAAATAGAAAAGGATCGAGGTAAAATATTTTAGAAAGACTACTTAATAAATACAATTTTGTAAATCGAGATTGTTTGAATTTTGGAATAGGTTTCTTGGAACTAAATCGAATACCATCCTCAAATAGTGTTTTTGTTTTCACAAGTAATCAAAGAAAAAAATTGGACGAGGCAGTTCTCTGCCCTTTCTCGATATGACAGCTCACTTCTATCGAGACAGGCTACTACAAGTTGCCGTACTAGGCCAGTACGAGATTACTAGAAGAACGGTGCTCATCAAAGATCTTCTTTTTTCTCTGTTTTCTCTGCGTCTCTTGATCTCTTCTTCCCGCCTTCCCACCTTCTGGCCTTTTGTCGGGGACCACGTCGGAACCCTTTTCGGAATAGTATAAACATTTACACCGCCTGTCTGGGATGCGTGGGGTACGGTAGATTTGAAAAAAAAGAAAACTATCTAAACTGAGATGTCGCATGTTGTAATGAAGTACACATGCTACAAAAAAGTGTTAATGTTCTGTGTAATCTGAAATCTGGAAATTTGAAAAATCTATAAGAAAAAAAGAAATCGAGAAATTTGAAGTTTAAAGGTTTATTTTCGAGAAAATGGAAAAAATTGAAAATTTCACTCGGTTTACGAAAAATGCATACGAAAAAAAGTGTGAATTGTTGGAAAATGTGAAAGAATTTAGGCTAAATATATGGTGAATTTCACTTTCTAAAACAGTAATTGGAACGTAAGATCAAACATAAAAAGGATAAAATTTTGAACTACAAAAAACTGTTTAATTTTCAGATGATAAATTTGAAAAAAAACCTTGAAACGGAGTAGGGAAGAGAATGAAGATATTGATTGTAGACGACAATAGGAATAGTTTGGCCCGAAACATATATAGATTGGCCCGAAACGACAATTAGGAACTGTAAACATTCCAAAATTTGATAATTATCTTGCTATTGTATATGTTTCACTTACGAAGTTGAACCAGATTTACAATCTCTTGGCCTTCTTCTTCTCTGAGGCTCCAGAACTGCTTCTCTTGTTACTTCTCTTGTTCGGCTCGAGTGGCAACTTGTTCAACGATCCGGTGCAGATCGTTTCTCCACACAAACATTTTCGTTCGATTGACCTAAATGTATGAATGCGTCGTGGAAATATAGAAATAGGAACTCACGGGTCGCATTCAAAATCGTACTTAATAGTTAACTCATCTCCTTTTGGAATGTCGCGAACAGCCGTGAAAAAAATTGCTCGATAATCTTTGTGTGTACCGTGAATTTTCCACTGTTCTGTTTCCAAGTTCGGGTCGCAACTGTTGTTGGCATATTTTCCCGCATTGCCGTACTTAGTCGGGTCGCACACGAATTGACCGCACTCAAAAAGGTAATTGTGCTCGACACCTTCAGCCTCATACTTCGTCAAACGTTCCAAACGTTCAGCCTTCGATATTATCTCTCCGGCATAGTATTAGGTTGGCGGGAAAGTCTTTGTCACTCTGTTTGTTTAATCACTGTTCTCGTATATGGAGGCTGTGTATGATATCGACTCTAGTGAATAACAAGGTGATAAGAACCTTCCATATAAACAAGTCCCCATTTCCTTCCCTGCTCCTCATCTGTAATTGAAACGATATGTTTGTTCCCACTGCTATTCACATCAGACATGTTTTGATTTACCTCTTCCTATCTCACACCACGATGAAGGATTCGGAAACTTTCTTGAAGAATGTGTACAACACACATGCCCCTCACTACAATACTATTCGCAATTGGTTCCATCGTTTCGAAAAAGATGACTTCTCGCTCGATGAAAAGGATCGCTCTGGGAGACCCCGTGAGTTGGATTTGGACAAGCTGAAGCACGCATTGCAATCGGATCCATTTCAATCTAGCCGTGAACTAGCTGTCACATTCGGAGTTCACCATAGCACAGTCCTTGAAGGTTTGAAGTCTCTTGGAATGAGAAAACTTTTTGGTCGATTCATACCTCATCACATGACTCAAGCCAACCTTGACCGCCGAGTCGACGATTCGATTACTCTTCTCACTCTCCACGCGGGCGATCGATGGCTGGACCGGCTAATAACCGGAGATGAGAAGTGGGTCTTCTACGATAATCACCACAGGAAATCCCAGTGGGTTGGAGAAGGAGAGAGCCCACAGGATGTCCCCAAACCCGACCTTCATCCGAAAAAAGTTATGCTCTCTGTGTGGTGGGGAGTGGACGGCCCCATCTACTGGGAACTTCTGCCCGAGGGCAAAACAATAACTGGAGACCTCTACACTACTCAACTACGAAACCTCAAGAAAGCAGTCGACCGTTCGGCCCTGAAAGACAAGAAAGTGTACTATCAACATGATAACGCTCGCCCACATGTTCGAAACAAGTGAAGCAGGAGCTGATGGGATATGGATGGAATGTTCTCCCTCACCCCCCGTATTCTCCTGATCTTGCTCCTTCCGACTATTGGTTATTTGCCGATATGACACGTGCCTTCGAAGGAAAAAGCTTCAATTCCCGTGGAGCGGTCGAAGCGGCACTCAAACAATACTTTGCCTCACGCCCGGCTGGATTCTACCGCAATGGAATCCATAAATTGAGGGAACGTTGGAGACATGTTGTTGATAATGATGGACAATATAATTAATTATTCGGTTATTTTTTCTTTGAGAAATAAACTATTGAAAAAGTGACAAAGACTTTCCCGCCAACCTAATACAAAAGTCGTGTTTCTTTCGAAATATGAGTTTTGGCAAATAAACTTTTTCCCTTATCTCTAGTCTCCGCAATAACAAACGGAATTGTGTTCATTCGAATTCTGGATAATTGGTTTTTGCAACGTTTTTTGCAATTCGGTGGGCACTCCTGGGATCGTGAGACATTTGGGCAGGAGTGATCCGAACAATCGACGCATTCTTCATAGTTGCATCTAAAATGTAATTGATTTGCTTGAAAAGTGAGACGGAAACTTACGCTAGTGTTTTGTGCAACTTTCCTGTGTCCTGGCAATAGCTGGTTGTGAATCTATGTTTAATTCTCATAGATTTTGCGGTTTCAGCAATCTTAAAAGCGGAAAATTTGGAATAATTCAAATACGAAAAAGAGCTTACTTCTTGTTTGGTCGGTTCCCGACCCAAATTAAACACCATTTTGATTTAGTTTCACGTGAAGGAAAGAAATCAAGAAAGAACTATGCCCTTGGCAAGGAATATATGCTGGTAATGAATATCTGTTAGCCGTGTGTCACTTAGAAAGACTGGTAAAAACGGAGACAGAAGTGCGCGGGAACATTCCGACGCAAAGAAGTAAAAAGGTGGTTACAATCCGATGTGATGTGTGAATATGTTACCATTGTGGGTTTCACGGTAAGTTGAGCAGATGGAGGCTAGCTGAATGCTGGAAAGAAGTCTGCGCTGAGAACACATGAAAGACGGAACGGACAATTACTCATATTGACAAGAAGACGCATATCAAAATGCTAAAAAAGTGTGAAGCAGTATTTAAAATTGGAGACAACCGCTACACGATGACAGGGTAATCTAGATCATTTTCTCATCTGGAAGCTGTAAACCTTTGTCTGAAAGATTTTCTGATTTGGGAACTCATCCCCCTCTCCTCGACGCCCTGAGAACCAATGGAAAATGTTGGTGGAGTAGTGTTGCAATAAAAGGGTGACGACAGGAAAGGGAAAACACTGTCAAGTTTAAACTCAATTATCTCCGCTCTTCTAATAGATAACAGAAATGTTCCAACTGAAGAAACACGTCTGATATTATGATAAGCAATTTTTCAGTTAGCAACTCATTCATATCTTTCACAAGAAACGAAGAAACGTGGCTCATATTCCTTAAGTTAGGGGGGACTCTTCTTTTACAGGTTTGACGGTATACTGGTTCGAACTTCAGAACTTTTTGTTCGCTTTTTTCAAAAAAGGGTCCGGTTCAATGATATTTACCGTGAAACCTGTAATAGAAAGGCCCCCACACTGCCATGATTGAGCTCAATTACCTCGGCTCCAATGAAAGATATCAAAAATTTGTCAACTAATGAAATATCGATCATAAGGCCAAAAGTGTTTTGTCAGTTGACACATTTTCCATATCTTCCTCATGAATCGAGATAAATTGACTCAAAGGTGAAAGCTAGGGTGCCATTTTACAGTATAATCTCTGTATGTCTCATTTGAATTTGAGCAACATTTAAGAACTTTAGACTTTTTAAAGTTTTAGCAATATTCACATTTTGAAAACTCAAGGCTTACAGGCAAAGTCATGTTTTTGAATAACGCTAATTTTGCACTGAGAGGACGATTTTTGATACTGAAACTAATATTACTCGACTGAAACTAGCGAGCGAATTCTAAAATGTGATGGGTGTCCATTGAGCCGTTAAATATACATCGTTAAACTATCCTGCAGTTTTTATCAATATGGATTTGTGAAGTGGTGAGTTTTACTTGTGAGACGATTTATCAAAATTGTTTATATTTTTCGAACTTTTTTACTACTTGAAATCATTAGAAAGTTGATAAAAATAAATGATTAGAGATATTGTCTGAAATATGAAGTTTCATTCAATTTTAAGCATAACAATAAACTTCGAGTTTTGAAACGTTTTAGAAATTGGAAAAGGTTTTTCAGTATTGATGTTTTTGTCCTGAAAACGCAATTTCCGGTACCGAAATTCAAATAATTCGTCTGAAACTAGCAAGCGGATTCTGAAATTTTCAGAAATGCTGAAATATTTATCGAAATCTGGGTCCAAAAAGTGTTGAGTTGCTTTATTGAAAAATTGAGATGAATAATTAAAAAACTTAAGATAAATCATGTCAAAAATTGAGATAAATTATGCAAAACTGTGCAGAGTAAATACGCTTATAGAGAAAATTACAAATATTAAAAATGACGGCAGTGTGAGAATATTGAATGTGTGACCCGTGAATCTGCGATTTGAGAAAGACAATGTTCTGAAATTGAAAACAATGAATTTACTTTTCAAACATCTTGAAAACTCACAATTAATATTTTCGGAATCCTCCAATTTTCCGAAATTCCTTCAAATTTGTTCCACTTCGAGGAGGTCATCCTGAAGATTTGCATCCGCTTCTTCATCGTTTGTGGTGGATGCTCCCGCGTTGGGTTCTTCAGCTTCTAGTACATTGGCCAGGATTTTGTCAAGAACATATTTGCAATTTCTCATCAATTCTGATTCTGAGACGGTATTCTTATTAGCTGTCTCCAATTCCGTCTGTCGATTCTGTCCGTCGTTTCGATGAATAGCAGCTGGCGGAGGCTGACCGATCCAGCCTTTGCATTTTCTCTTGCGACAGAGACACCTTTGGCTCGTTTCCCTAAAAAACAACGTAACTGTAATAAGTATATCAGACAAAAAAAAGAACATACGGGTTATAATTGTATCCGTAGTCAATTGTGAGTTCAGCACCCTTTCTGATATTCTTGTTTGCCACGAAACCGATCGCTTTAAATCCGTTCTTTCGATTGCTCACTGTGTACGTCTTCGCATGCATGTTTGGCTCACAGCTGTGATTTCCAAATCGTGCGGAGTTGCCATATTTTGTAGGATCAATATAGAATCGACCAGCCTTGAAGGGGTACAAGTGAGCTTCACCATTTGATCTGTATTTTTCCTTCCGAATTTGTAGCTCGGAATTGGAAATAACTTCTCCGTGGTAGGGGATTATGAACTCATTTTTTTGATAGCACGAGAAGCAAATAGTCCGATTCCTTTGTTCCCGGAGGATTTGACAAGGAAACATTTATTTTTTTGTTTTCGGTACTGTTCAAAAAATTGATTCTGGCATCCAGCTTTTTTCAAAGCACAAGATTTTGGACACACCATGTTTTGGCCATAATTGTCACAATCTTCAGTAGTGCAATTGCAATCTTCATTCTTACATCTAAAATTGAATAAGCTTTTTTCAAATTTTCAATTGGAATGAACTTACTTCTCCACTCGGACAACTTTAGCTTTATCCGCTTTGTAAGACGGATGTAGTTTCGGTTGAACATTGGCGTGGAATTTCTTGATAGTTTTCTGCAAAACTTTCTAGATTTTTCTTTCTCAACAAGATTTTTCTTTTTCATCAACATTTTAAAATCCCAGATTTTGATGATAACTTTAGGATATACTGAGAATGGCCTATCTGAACACCTTTGAAAACTTCAGAATCCGCTTTCAGCAGCTCGCCAGTTTCAGCCGAGTTATATCAGTTTCCGTAGAAAAAATCGCGTTCTCAGCTTGAATTTCCAATCTAAAACATTTTCTCAAAAAGATTGTTTCCAAATTTTCAAAAGTTTCCACCATTTGGATTCACCGAAAAACCAGTATTGGACGGGCAGACCTTTCTATTGTCCTAAGACACCTCCATAGGACTCTTCTATTTTTTCAGTCATTTTTCTAAAAAGTTTTCATCGAAAGGTTTGGTGTAATTTAGTTAAAATTTCACGAAATCTATCAATTTCACAAAACTGCAATTTTTCGAGCAAAAAATTGTGTTACAACAAGTTTCTTTAAAAATTTAAAATATCCGGATTATTTTTTATTGAAAATGTACGAAAATGTATAAATTCAAAAAACACATTTTGAAGGGGCCTTTTTATTTTTCCACGGCCCTATAGGAGAGCCCTTCTAATACAGTTTCATGTTTTTCAAACTTTTATTTCCTATAGAAAATGTTTGCAACATGAAGTTCAAGTATAAAACAACCGATTTTTGGGGACTGTAACTGATGTAACTCGGCTGAAACTGGAGGGGGGGGGGGGGGTGGATTCTAGTATTTTCAAAAGCTTCTAGCTATGATATTCTTCACCGATTTTGAAGTTCAATTCAAAGTTCGGGGTTACAAAGTTTTGAGAATTCCTTCGAATTATAAACTCACTTTGACATTTTGTGCCTCTTGGTTTTTTGTGTCTTTTGGTGCCTTTGATGGTCGGTTAATCATTTTTAACACAGTGGTCTTCTATAACTGAAAATTCAAAAATGTGAAAATTATCTACGAATGTTAAGAGGACCAAATGACAAAAAGAAATTGGAATAAGCGTTACAAAAACATTCGTTTCCAGAGAGGGTTGCAATGAAAAGAGAAAAATATTGTAAGCCAAAATTTTCAAAAGAGGAAAGAAAAAGGGGATCTTAATCAGAACAATTTTAGTTTCAAAAACGTTTTCGGGAAATATCTTGTATGATTTTTTGAAAATTAAACGAGAAAAAGAAACAAAATGTTTTTATCGTCCCACTGCTAGCCAGCAAACCCCAGGAGTTTGGCACGAAAAAATACTGATAACAATTATAAAATAGCGGAGTAACTGCGTGCCAATCAGACCTCCCATACAGAAAACATTCGTGGCAAAGTGTAAATCTTAATATCAGCAAAAAAATCGTGTGAGACTGTTAAAAAACATCTTCTGAGAGAGACAGGAATATTTTTTTTTATTGAAAAATTTTCGAAAGGCAAATTTGCTAATGAACACAAAAACAAAAAACTGGCAAAAATTATGAACAAAAATAGTACTAGCTTCTATTGACTAGTATATTCATTCATTCATAATTAGTTGGCTCCCGCTTACACTATCATAATATTTTAAAAGACAAAAAACTTAAAGTTTCAGAAGTTTAGTGTTGTCAAGAAGCTCAGAAGTTTTTTTTTCAAATTCTTCAAGAAAAATATTTTAAAGTTCAAAATATGAAATTCATAGATTCAGAAATTCGAAAGTTAGAGACTCAGGATATTTTCAAAGTTTTAGAATTTCCGAAATTTTGAATTTTTAATTGTTTGCATTTCTCAAATTCGGAATTTCCCAACTTTGTTATTTTTAAATTTACAAATATAGACTTTGAATTTTCGATTTTAAAAACACAGCGACTCAGAGAGTCAGTAGTATCAGAATTTAGAAAGTCAAGAATCCTAAAATTAGGTACTTCAAAAAACTAGGAGTTAGGAAATTATGGCACTCAAAAACTCAGAAATTCCAGAAAATTCAGAAATTCTTATGATCAGAAATTTTAGTTCAGGAATTTAGAAACTCAACTCAAAAATTCTGAAGCACTAGACTCCTGTAAATCAGAAAATTGAAAAATCAGATACTCAGGTTTGCTGAAATACAGAAATTTGGTAGTTTATAAATCGTGAAATTCAGAATTAAAAAAAATAAAAATCCAGAAATTCTGGAATTCTGAAATTTAGATAATCAGGAAATTCGGAAGTTCAGAAACTCTGAAAATTGATTTTCTGAAATCCTGAATCTCTAGAATTCTAAAATTCTGAGACTCAGAATGTCGAAAATGCAGAGAATCAAAAATTCAGGTACTTTTGAATTCAGAATTTTTGAAATTCTGAAATTCTGAAATTCTGAAATTTTAAAATCCTGAAAATTCGGACTTTCTAGAATTTTTCAGAATTTCAGGAAATTAAGAATTTAGAATTTTTGAAAATACTGACTTTAGAAATTTGCTTATTCAGTAATTCAGGAATTTGGAAATTTGGAAACTCAAAATGTTGAAAAAAAGCAGGATCAGAAATTCAAAATTTCTCACATTCAGAAAAACAAAAATTACATTAAAAATAGAACATTAAAAATTCTGATATATTAATATTTCGGAATTCAGTTATTCACAAATTTTGAAATTCAGGTAATCAAGAATTCAGAAAATCAGAAATTCTGAATGTCAAAAAAATGGGAATTTCAAAAATTAGGATATTTTAAATTTAAGGAGTTCAGAAATTCTAGAGTTTCAAAATCCCAAAAATCATAAATTTTGAAATTTTGAAATTAAGGATTTCAAAATGCCACTAATTCAGCAAATCAGGAATTTTAAAATTCAAAAATCCGGACTTTAGAGATTTGAAAACCCTGAAATTTGGAATGTTAAAAAAGCGGAGAATCAGAAATTCAAAATTTCTCAAACTCGGGAAATCAAAAATTCGGAACTAAAAAAATTTGGATTTTCATAGGTCGAAACGGATTTTTTCAAATAGCTTACAGAAAAAAAAAACGAGAGAGAGAGAGAGGACAAAGAGTACAACAAGCGTACTGCGCATCATTGTCTGTTCGAGACGATGTTGGACCTTTCTGTTACAACACGTACCTTTCTATCAGCGAAAAGCGGAGAAGGAAGATTAATTGTTGAGAAGCTAAACGGATTGTTTAACTTAAAACAAAAACGTTCGACAGACTGACGTGTAACCTTTTAAAACATTCAAGATGACAAGCGAAGTCTACATTTAAACTTTAAACTGCATCGATGCTGGTTAGTTACAATGAACGATGATTTTTACGATCATTTTTTAGAACTTCAATTTCGAATCAAGTGATTTCAAAAAATTGTAAATTTGTACAGATTTTACTAACAAGAAAAACTATTTTCAATTCGACTTGCAAGAATTCTTGAATAAAACACTGATTTAGAAAGAAATTGGTAACTGAGCTGTGTCGTTTTTACTGGGGTGCTCCTCTACCTATAAATACTATTGAACGACCTTTTTCTCCCTCTCTTCCCGCCTTGTCGGAGACCGTCGTCGGACCCCGCCGTTGGCATCCTTTTCTCGCAGGAACAGAATATAAACATCCACGTGGAATGTCTGAGATGTTTTAGACATGATAGATTTGAAAAAGGACAGACGAAGAACAGAAAAATTCAAATTTTGGAATTCAATGGAATGTATTTTTCTCGGTGTTGAGACGTTTCAAGGAAATGCTAGAAGAAAATGTTCATATCGAGTAGAAACGATTTTCTTTTCTTTCTCAGTTCGCCTCAATTTTTAAGTGTATCCGGAACAGATATTTCGATTCAAAAAAATGGAAAGATTCAAAATAACAACTGTAAAACGAAATACTGACAGTTAAGCGAACATTTGTTGAAGGAATGAAGTTATTGAAAAGAATCTCACGGTAGATGATCACTATGATCAAATATACATCGACGCTCGAATTTATAAATTCGGCTCTTATGAATAAAACTACACAATTCCCATTCTGATTATTTTTTTGCTTTCAAAACTCCGTCAATAAAAATATTAAAATTATATAACGATATTTATGCACAGTTTTGAAACGATACCGTCTAGTAAATGTAAAATATTAGAAGAGTTCTGTAGGAGGTAAATCGAATATTTCGAAGGTCCAAAACGTGTAGATGTTTAAATGTGCAATGAATTTAGAATAAATCTATGAAAATGCTATTAAGGTCGTTAGCGACAAATGGGTGGATCTTGACTGTACCGATGTGGTACTAGGAGTACAGTGCAAAGGGGTTGGAGAAAACAGAAAAGAAGGAAGAGACGAAAGAGATAGAATAATAACCAAAACTGAGCCCGTAAGAGAAGAAGGAAAACTATCAAGATATATATTTTTACTTAATTTGAAATGAGAAAACTCTGTGAATGATATGAAGAGAAAAAGAAGATTTTCAAAAGTGCAAATCTTAAATATAATACTTTGATGGGACAGTCTAACGGAAGATAATTAGTGGTCTCTAAATACTTTTAAAAGACCACTAAATGAGGGAATTTTTGAAAATCAAGACTGTAGAAATTTTAGAATAGGTGTCCTGGAACAAAAACAAATACCATCTTCAAACAGGGTTCTCATTGTCAAGAGTAAATGTGAAAAAAATAGGAGCAAGATAATTCTCTGCCCTTGCGCTATCTCCCCAGGCCACCCACCCAGACGGGCTACTACAAATTGCCATACTAGGCCAGTGAATTGCCATACTAGGCCAGTAGGAGATTAATGAGAACTGTGCTCATCAAAGATCTTTTTTGATCGTCTGTTTTCTCTGCGTCTCTTGATCTCTTCTTCCCGCCTTCCCACCTTCTGGCCTTTTGTTGGGGACCGACGTCGGAAACCTTTTCGGAATAGTATAAACATTTACACCGCCTGTCTGGGATGCGTGGGGTACGGTAGATTTGAAAAAAAAGAAAACTATCTAAACTGAGATGTCGCATGCTGTAATGAAGTACACATGCTACAAAAAGTGTTAATGTTCTGTGTAATCTGAAATCTGGAAATTTGAAAAATCTATAAGAAAAAAAGAAATCGAGAAATTTGAAGTTTAAAGGTTTATTTTCGAAAAAATGGAAAAAATTGAAAATTTCACTCGGTTTACGAAAAATGCATACGAAAAAAAGTGTGAATTGTTGGAAAATGTGAAAGAATTTAGGCTAAATATATGGTGAATTTCACTTTCTAAAACAGTAATTGGAACGTAAGATCAAACATAAAAGGATAAAATTTTGAACTACAAAAAACTGTTTAATTTTCAGATGATAAATTTGAAAAAAACCATGAAATGGAGTAGGGAAGAAAATGAAGGTATTGATCGTAGACCTTCTGGCCTTTTGTTGGGGACCGACGTCGGAAACCTTTTTGGCAAAGTATTTTTTCACATTTACTCTTGACAATCAAGAAAGAGTTGTAAGACAAAGACAAACAGTTTTTCTGAGAGAAACTTAACCGTGAAAGTTTTAATTTTTTTTTTGAAAATTTGGATCAAGTGATTTCAAAAAAATTGCCTCTTTAATTTCAAATATTTTGGAATACTGCAATCTCTAGTAGACAGCAACAAAAAATACGTGCATATGGAAATATAAAAAAAGATAAATGAAAAATTCGCATCAACACCAAATGTCTCGACATACGTGTTCCTTTCGTTTTGCAAAAACTCAAATAGTCGAGCTGTTTTTCGATGAATTTAGATACGCTTAAGAAGATTAGAGTTCAAGAAAGAGTTGTCACACTGCCATGCACTGCCATGCACCACACTGCACACTGCCATGTTTGAGCTAAATTATCTTGGCTTCATTGAGAGATATCAAAAATGTGTCAACTAATGAAATGTTAATCATATTATCAGAAGTGTTTTGTCAGTTGACACATTTGTCATATCTTTCTCACGAATCGAGATAAACTCTCGTATATCTATGTTTCATTTGAATTTAGAGTT